ACAAACAGGAGGCTGTTGAAGGTTAAGGTGTGGATCGTTCCGGGTTTTGGGTTTAGGGTTTCAGGTTTAGGGTTCAGCTTAGGGACCCTACAATCCTTGAACCCAAACCTAAGCTTTGCCCTACAACAGGACCCCTGCTCCTTCACTCAGGTCTTGCCAGCCAATGGTAGGTTCTGGAAAGCAAATGGGTTCACGGTTTAGGGCGCAGGGCCGCTAACTCCAAGTCTTCAACTCCTCTAGGGCTCAAGACCTCTGGCACCCTACACCCTAGACCCTGTAGACCCGCAACCCTACACCCTAAACCCTAATCCCGAAACCCGAAACCGCAAACCCTAAACCCTAAACCCTAAACCCTAAACCCTAAACCCTATGCCCTGAACCCTAAACCCTAAACCCTAAACCCTAAACCCTAAACCCTAAACCCTAAACCCTAAACCCTAAACCCTAAACCCTAAACCCTAAACCTAAACCCTACACCCAACCAGGCGCCCCACACAGCGGTGATGGGCTGTTCGGATTCGGGGGCACCTCTGGACACTGGCCTGGAGATTGTGGGTTTAAGGTTGTAGGTTTGGGGATTTAGGGTACATGACAGTAGGGTTTAGGGATTTAGGGATTTAGGGATTTAGGGATTTAGGGATTTAGGGATTTAGGGATGTAGGGATTTAGGGATTTAGGGATTTAGGGATTTAGGGATTTAGGGATTTAGGGATTTAGGGATTTAGGGATGTAGGGATTTAGGGATGTAGGGATTTAGGGATTTAGGGATTTAGGGATTTAGGGATTTAGGGATTTAGGGATTTAGGGATTTAGGGATTTAGGGATTTAGGGATCTAGGGATCTAGGGATCTAGGGATTTAGGGATTTAGGGATTTAGGGGATTGGCTCAGACTTAGGGGTTGTCGGGTTTGTGTCTTGCCGGGTTTCAGGGTTTTCAGGGTTTTGGGTTTAGGGTTTAGGGTTTAGGGTTTAGGGTTTACGGTTTGCATGGGTGTGGGACTGAAACCCTAAATCTTAAACACTAAACCCTCAACCCTCAACCCTCAACCCTCAACCCTAACCCCTAAACCCTAAACCCGAAACCCTAAACCTGCGGTTTCGCTGCAGTGTGGGAATGGCATGCACGGCTCGGGATTTGTGATTCTGGGGCTTGGGGCCTTTGGCCTCATAGAGTTGATGACGTAGCAGCCGATGCAAAACCACTTGTTGCACACAATTCCCAAGTCCCTAAACCCCTATATAAACCCTAAAACCCTAAGCCCCAACCCTAAAAGCCGAAACCCTGAACCCTAAACCCCTAAAACCCTAAACCCTAAACCCTATAAACCCTAAACCCCTAAACTTGTTTAGTAGATCCTGCGCCCGGTTCAAGGATGGCCCGGCCATTTTTGTGAGGGGTCTAGGGTTCCTCCGTCCTAGGGTCTGTTGAAGCTATTCAAGGTTTGGGGTTTAGGGTTTAGGGTTTAGGGTTTCAAGGACAAAGTTTCAAGGAATGGGGCAAGTTTCCAGGAGTTTCGAGGCTTTAAAAAGAACAAGTCACAGGGGCTTGAGTGTTTAGGGTTAGGCTGAGGTGTCGCTGGACACCCCAAACCCTACATCCCAAATCCTAAACCCTTGAAGCATACCTTGCACAACCCTTGACAGGTGGGCCTTAGTCAAGCTTCGAGTCTGAAGCAGACCGTTTTGGTGCGTACTCTGCATTGTGGTTTACTTGGTAGCCCAGTGGTACCTGGTAAAGAAGCCAACCCCAAAAAATATGCCCTGATTATGAAATGGTTTTTTGGGCTACTAAGTTTAGCTCTGCAGATTGAGGGCTTAGGGTTAAAAGGGTAGCCCTAAACCCTAAACCCGAAACCGGCCCCAGCGGCTCTCCAGGAAACCATCTTCGATGCCATGCCGGGGGATCTCTTCGTAGTCCGCAACGCCGGGAACACCTGCACGCATGCGGAGGCTGGGAGGACGAGACCCGATGATGCCCGAACGCCAAACCCTAAACCCTAAACCCCAAACCCCACACCCTAAACCTTAGCTAGATGGGCTGTTGCACTGGATGTGGTTTCCGGAGCCTGGTAGGAGTTGCTTCATAGCCAAAAGCACCAGTATTAAGCAAGTAAGGGTCTGTAGCTTTTCTTGGGTGCCCCCCCCCCCCCGAGCCCACACCCACATGAGTGTGTGTTCAGGCTTGATAGCCATTTTGGCTCAAGCCATTTTGGCTCAAGCCATTTTGGCTCAAGCCATTTTGGCTCAAGCCATTTTGGCTCAAGCCATTTTGGCTGAAGCCTTTTAGGGGTCGCAGTGAAGGCACTCGGTCTTTGGTTCGATTGGCGCCGTCATGGGGCGCGAGCGCCGCAGCTCCGATGAGGCATCACGAAAGCGGCGCCGTGCCGAGGGATCTGCGAAGACTCCGCCTCTGGGCATGGCGGCCGTTTTGCTGCCGACTTCTTCGGCAGCGGATGCTACTGGGGCAACGGGCACCGTGAAGAGTGCGGCAGGTGCAGCCTTGCAGCAATACCAGCTATTGGCCACGAGACAAGCGCCAGCGGGAAGGAGAACAGTCAGCGACTCAGAATGATTCAAGCTGCCCTAGCTCTCCACTCAGTGATCCAGAAGAGCCGGTGGCATCTTCACAGGCGACAGGGGTTAATGAAGGGCTTTCTCCCACTCCGGGAGCTAGTCCACTGAACTCATCTCAGTCCTGTGATCGTAGCCGCTCTCCGCTGCCGAGACTGCGTAGGAGTGGAAATCTCGAGGATCAAAGCTTTGTTCGCCGTGAAGATTTGCCAGCTCTGGTAGCCGATCTCCTTAACGATCGGTTGCTTCATTCAGTCGTGTCCTTCTAGGGGACATTAGCAAGCTCCTTGCGAGGCACAGGTCTCACGCAGTGAAGGGGTGCCGAACTATCCAACTGCTTGCAGTACGGAACCGTGTGAGTTGCTCCCGAGAGGCCGCCGGTGCACGACTTGCAGGTGCTTAGAACAGATACTGAAATTTTGAAGGCAGTTGATGCCCTTTTGGGAAAGAATGGCAACTTGTGGGAGTACTGGGCGGCCCAATGTGATTGTGACATTTACCCCCCCAACCACCTGCCACAACTGCTGCATCCCTCCACGCCCGCGTGAAGGCTGGGAGTGCAGGTTGTGTCTAAAGTCTAAAGGGGAACAAGGAGCTAAGTATCCTTGGGGCTGGTGGCCAAAAGGGGCCGGTGTAAAGTCACTGTCCAGGCCCAAGACAAGCAAGGTAACCTTGTGCTTAAGGGTCGCAAGGGCAGCGTTTCTCAAGCGTTGATTCGCGCCCTGGTGCCATTTGTTGGAGCCGCTGCAGCGATCAAGGCAACCGATTCTGAGGCTGAATAGTTCAGGTGCTGCCTGTGCTTGGCCAGTTTTTCTCAGAACTGGCGGCAGGTTTAATTCAGCTTGGAGAGACAAGGCGTGAGATGTTAAAATATTTGCCTCCATGAGTCCCTGCAAGTCCTTGACTGCTGCGCTGATTTCCAACTTCTTAGGTTGAGAAGCAAACCACTTGGAAGCTGCTGCTTCCAGCAGCTTCCAAGGGTGACAAGGCATCGTCTCCTTGAACCTCCATCAACGCCACTCTAAAAGCATGAGACAAGTGATCAAACAGGGGCGCTTCTCGAACAGTGACCTGCGCAGGGGAAGAAAAACAACACCGCCATTCATTGAAAACGAAAAAGGAACAAACACAGAAAAACAAAAAAGAAGCTCAGTTTGCCAGTTTTACAGGGGATTCGGCCATTGCCCGAGTTGCGTTGGCAATCGCCATGGCGCCCTCAGAGGTGGAGTCTAGGAGGTTGGCCATCCACTTACTGGCGGAAATTTCAAAGCTACTGCCAAAGGGTCACGCAATGCTGCCCCAGCATTGCCAAGATTTTCTTGGCCCAGCGGGCTTGCAGTTCGTCGAACTTTGGCAAAAAAGAGGCGTCAAACCAACAGCTCTGCTGCATAGAGAATGACTGGCTCCACTCTTTCGATGACTGTTGTCGCTAGCACAGGAGGAGGCGGTCCTGATTGATGAGCCACAACCTCAAGCTCCTCGAACAAGGCTGCGCCAACTCTATCAACTGTTTTGCGCGGGTGACCAGCGAGAACTCGCTACCAAGCAAAACACCAAGGAGTTTATACTTCTCACATGCTAGGTGCTCTAGTGAAGGGGGCGGCGAATCAGAACAGGCCACGATAGCAGTTTTTGTTGGCCCAAAGTTGAACTCGGCACCTGCTAGTTTGGAATAGGACTCCAATCCAAACAGAATGGCAAAAGTAGAATCCGCATCGGAAGCAAACGGTGCAAACCACATCGTCAATAAAGAGCATGGCTCCAAGAGGGTGGCAAGTGCTCCAAGCAGCGCGTCCTCTGCGGGTCTCCTCAAAGTATTCCTTTTTGTTGATCCAGCTACGCGGAAAAGCTTGCTTAAGCGCTACAAATCTCAAGTTTTGTTTCCGTTTTTGGTGGCACGGGATAAGCAGGTCTTTTGCAAGTCTGCAGAAAGGAGCTGCCTGGCTTGGGGCTGTGTTACAAGGATCTGGGCGACATTCACCTTAAACAGGCCTGGTCGGGGCTATTGCAGCAGTTTCATCATGGCGAATGGGCCCTGGCGAGAGTATGGGCGTATGTGCGTTTGGCTGGCCATTGGCCTTTGAGCCTTTTTTCTGATGAGACCTCGGCAGCCACGATCGAGATGTGACTTTCAAGAAGCTACTGCGCTTCATCTACTATGCCATTGCCTGCAGACCGCCGCGACTTTGGTCCAGTCGGACATTACTGCGTACACACCTTATTCCACAGTACCATTTCGGGCGAAGCCGATGCTGCTAGGGTTCGCTTTGCAGGTCTGGCTGGTACTAAAGCTTTGAAGCAACTCCTGCAGCTGTAAAAACCCGTTGCTAATGAGAGATGCATTTGGTCAGTGTTTATTTTTCTTTTACACGTTTCCTTTCGTGGTGTTTGCTTATGTGATTTTCATTGGAGCTATTTGGGGGTGCGCAATGACGACCTGCCAGCATTGCTGGGGGTACCGCATTGCCCACTGATAACCCTCAGGCGCCCGCATGCAAGGGTGACGGTTCTTGAGTGAGAATTGAGCATTGCGCATTGAACGTGTTAACACCCTAAACCTTAAACCCTATAAACCCTAAACCCTGAACCCTGAACCCTGAACCCTAAACCCTAAACCCTAACGCCTAACCCTCGTCCCGTCCAGGGTAGCATGGTGGGCAGCCTGGAATTCTGTGCCTCCCTGGGCTCCAAGCTGATCCCCGGCTACGGTATGATAACCCTAAACCCTAAACCCTAAACCCTAAACCCTAAACCCTAAACCCTAAACCCTAAACCCTAAACCCCTAAACCCCTAAACCCTAAACCAGAGAGAACTTGCGGCTGCCTAGTGGCCGTAGATTTTTCAGCGCAGTGTTCCAGGGTTGAGGGTTTAGGGTTTGGGTTTTTGGTTTTGGGGTTTAGGGTGTAACAGGGTTAGGGATTAGGGTTGAGGTTTTAGTAATGAAGGAACCCCTCCTAAATCATATTCGGATCATTCAGGATTCCATCTTGTGATCTAAGTTATATTCGCAGTTGAGGGCTTCTGGGGTTCTCTGGGAAGTTCCACGCAACTGAATAAGGGTATACGTGGGCCCTGGAACGGAGATCTTCTGTGCTAACTTTCGGGCCGCCGGCATGTTTACATAAACCCTAAACCCGAAACCCGCCCCCAGGCACTCGCCCATGCCAAAGCCCCTCGAAGTCCGACACCATGCAGGTTCGATATTTTCCTCGCGAGTCGCGGCGACCACCCAAAAACCTGAAGTCCTCAAACCCTGAAGCCCTAAACCCGCACAAAACCCCACAGCCCTAATGCCCCAAAACCACGAAGTCGGACACATCCCAAGAAGCCTGGCCCCAACAGGTTTTTTTTGTAGCCCCTGATAGGATTCTTATGTAACCTACACACAAAGTAATCATGGGTCTTTTTACCCTAAGCCCGAACCCTAAACCCCAAATTTGAAAAGGATCCTGGTGTTGGGTCACACGCAGTGCGGCGCCCTGGAGGGCGCGGTGAACATGCACCTGAGCCAGAAGGCCATCGAGTTCGGGTTTGGGGTTTAGGGTTAGGGCTAGGATTCTGGGCTGCTCCTAGGAGTAGAGTAGGACACCTGTTAACTTTTTTTTTTTTTTTGGGGGGGGGGGGGGGTATTCTAATCCCTACAAAATCCCGAAGGTCAACCTTTCGTGCCCCGTAAAACCCTAAACCCTAAACCATACTCGTTTTAGCCTAAAAATGCAGTTGGCCAACCCTAAACCCTAAACCCTAAACCCTAAACCCTAAACCCTAAACCCTGCCAACTCACCCCCTTCCGCGGAGCCTAGGGGTTGAGGTTTAGGTTTGGTGGTTTAGGGTTCGTGGCCTAGGGTTGGGGATTTGGCCTAAACTGAAACCGCAAACCCTAAAACCGCAAAACCCTAAAACCCTAAAACCCTAAAACCCTAAAACCCTAAAACCCTAAAACCCTAAAACCCTAAAACCCTAAAACCCTAAAACCCTAAAACCCTAAATTAAAACCCTAAAACCCTAAACCCTAGCCCGACCTATGTCAGCTGGAGGATGCGCGGACTAGCAAGCCGCCAAACAGCGCTCTGACCGGTCTGCTGCAGGCGCGAGCTCATCTTAGTTTAGGGCTTAGGGTTAGGGTTTAGGACTTAGGATTTAGGATTTAGGGTTTAGGGTTTAGGGTTTAGGGTTTAGGGTTTAAGGTGCAGACAGGGCCATCCTGGTGCTCTTTAAACGCTCAGGAGGTCGTTTAGGGTTTAGGGTTGAGGGTTTGTTTAGTTACGTCTAGGGTGCCATTTTTGCTGTTGAACCCTGAACCTTCAACCCAAAACCCTAAACCCTAATCCCCAATCCCTAATCCCTAAGCCAAAGCCTAAACCGTGTGCATTGAAACCATTGTTATTTCTGTTTCGGGGTGTCAGGGGTAGGTTCCAATGTGTTGAGGTTTTAAGAGAATATGTTCAGAGTCTCCCTTCACGGGTTTAGGGTGTTTCGGGTTTAAGGTTTTCAGGGTTTAGGGTGTTCAGGGTTTAAGGTGTTTAGGGTGCATGGGGTTTATGGTTTCGGGCTTAGGGTTTAGGGATTTTACTGTCGAGCAGCGCCATGTCCAGCAGGAGCTGTCGGGCGTGGTGCAGCAGGCGGGCTGTAGAGAATTGAGTCCAGCTCCTTATACCCTAAAACACTAAAGTAGATCCCCACCCCCCTTCCCCCGCAGTTTTTTTTCTACTATTTGGCTAAGAACCTCCAAAAAATGAACGACAATGATCCCTCTATTGTCCTTATAAGGAAGGACGTGTTTCTCATTTCTTTGGGGGAGGGATTCTCAAGCAATTAGTAGTTTTGTGTGGAGGAACTGGACTGGGGATTGTTGGGGCTTAGGGTTTCGGGGGGTTGAGATGCTGAGGGTGGCTTCTCACAGCAGAGCCAAGCCATTTCGGGCTTTGAGCCCAGGCTTGTAGAGGCACAAGGGGCATCGAGGGGTCATCACAGCTGAAACCTAGATAGTCACTTCTCTGAATTCTGGTACCCTGAATCATAGGGGCCGCCTCATAATAAGGACCCCAAAGGGACCGGACCATAGTTTAGAGAATCCCCCAGATGTTGCGCAGCTACTCTTTTCGACTTGTCTTGTCAAGGCCACCCTAAGACCTAAGCCCGAATCCCAAGTAGCAGCTCCGCGAAAGTGGTTTGAGGTTTTGGGGTTTAAGGGGTTTAGGGGTTCAGGGTTTTAGGGGTTCAGGGGTTCAGGGGTTTAGGGTCTAGCACAGCGGTTGCATCAAGAGCCTTCACGAAGTGCACAGTGCTCGTGCAAAACCCTACATTGATTCCTGCTTTGTAGGGGGTAGGTTCCTCACGAACCCCGATGACACAAGATATACGTACCTGTTAATCATACCTAATTAGCTGTTCGAAGCAGCCTCTCCCTACACAGACCCCTAGCACCAAAACCCACAACCAAAACACTTTGACCAATTGGATACCCCTAAACCCCCCCACACCAAAACACCCCAAAACCCAACTCGTAGACCCCTAAGCGCTAAGCCCAAAGCCCCTGCAACCCCCATTCAACATCCAAGAAACGACCTTCTAAGTATAAGTATATGGGGAGAAGTAAAATTCCTACCAAATCTGGGGTTTGGGGTTTGGGGTTTCGGGTTTAGGGTTTAAGGTTAAGGGTTCAGGGTTTAGGGTTTAGGGTTGAAGTGAGGTGGAGGAGAAACTGGGGGTCCAAGCTGACAGCCAGATGTTCGTGGACCATGCGATCAAGGCCTGCCGGCCTTGTGCTGGTTTTTGTTGAGTTGATTTCAAGCCTAAACCCTAAACCCTAAACCCTAGACCCTAGACCCTAGACCCTAAGGTTTGTCCATGATGGCTACAAGCCTTACAGTTCTACGAACTCAAGCGTCCTGCGCACTTGGGGCAAGTGAAGATTTAGACCTTTGAGCTGTCGCTCGTGCTGGAATCCAGGGACTAAAGGAGGGTTTAGGGTCTAGGGTTTAGGGTTTACGGTTTAAGGTTTAGGGCTTAGGGTTTAATTAGCGGTGAGGGCTTAGGGTTTAGGGTTTCTTAGGTGTTATTTGGGGTTATTTAGGGGCTTTTTAGGAGTATAGGGATGGCGGTTATGTTGGGGTTTAGGGTTTAGGGTTTAGGGTGTAGGGTGTAGGGTTTAGGGTTTAGGGTTTAGGGTTTAGGGTTTAAGGTTTAGGGTTTAGGGTTTAGGGTCCATTCTAGGGGTCCGTCCTTAGGACACGACCCCCCCCCAAAGTTGCCGAAATCTCGATACTTTGGAAACATGTACATCTACCTGTTGCGCAAGCCGTGCATCCTGCGGGCTTCGAAACCCTAAACCCTAAGCCCACCGTATGCCCTAAACCCTCAACCCTCAACCCTAAACCCTAAACCCTAAGCCAAACTGGGCCTGGAGTACAGTGGTTTGAGGTGCTGCTGAACGCAAACCCTAAACCGTCAAAAAAGGTTTCACATGGTTCCTTGAAGTTTTGCAAGCCAAGGCCCAGAATTTTGGTTTAGGGCTTAGGGTTTCGGGTTTAGGGTTTAGGGTTTAGGGTTTAGGGTTAGGGTTTAGGGTCTTTTTAGAGCAACCTCCCACATAAAAAGAGCCCCGGGGTCCGGACAGGTGAACGTCTTCCACTCCATCGATTTCCTTCTGAGGTCTTCAGGGTGCTGGGATATTTTTTTTGTTTAATCTTTTTCTGGTCAGTTCTGTGGAAATTTCTCGCTTGTGGTCTTAAATGCTTTCTTAAATGCTTTTTTGGGTGCAGGGCTTAGGGTTTTAGGGTTTAGGGTTTAGGGCTAGAGTTTAGGGTTTAGGGTTTAGGGTTTAGGGCTGAGGGGGGGGGGGGGGGGGGGCTTTTACTACAGGGATTCCGGGTGTTGTTCAGGCTTCGTTCGGGGCCTGCCTTCAGGTGGAGGAGTCCTGGGTCCATGTGAAGCAGGGTTTATATTACTGTTATTGGTGAGTGTATATAAGGCTCCTTTTTAATATTGGTGAGTGTATATACCTGGTGTCCTTTTGGGGGTACAAGAAATATAAACCCTACTTCATGTACGGTTTAGGGCTAGGGCTTTAGGGTTTAGGGTTTGGGGTTTGGGGTTTGGGGTTTCAGGTTTGGGGTTTGGGGTTTGGGGTTTGGGGTTTTTCGGTTTGGGGTTTGGGGTTTGGGGTTTGGGGTTTGGGGTTTGGGGTTTCAGGTTTGGGGTTTGGGGTTGGGGTTTGGGGTTTGGGGTTTGGGGTCTGGGGGGCGAACGCCTAAAGACCCGAAGCCCCAAAGACCCGAAGCCCCAACGACCCAAGACCCTAAAGACCCGAAAACCCCAAAGACCCGAAACCCTACAGACCCTAAACCCCAAACCCCAAAACCCTACACACCCGAAACCCTAAAGACCCTCAACCCTAAAGACCCGCAACCCAAAAAGGCCCCAAACCCTAAAGACCCGAGACCCTAAAGACCCGAAACCCCGAACGGCAAAACCCAGAGGTTTAGCCTCATGTTAGAGTCCCGAACCCCTTAAATTTGCCCCTAAAACCCAAGCCCTCAAACCCGCACAGCCCAAGCCCAGAGGTTTAGCCAGCCTTTGCGGGAACTCATGAAGCACGGCGAACTGGAGATTCACGGCGGCCACCGGGCATTGAAGTTGCCCAGATCTGTCAGCACAAAAATCGTCGAGACCCGAAAGCTGTAGGGTTTTAGGGTTTAGGTTTTAGGGGAATGCCTAAACCTAGTCAGACCCTTTTTGGGGAGAAGGGGATGTTGTACCGGTTTAGGGTTGAGGGTTTAAAAAGGGTTTACGGTTCAGGGTTCTCAGGGTTAAGGCTTTAGGGTTTGGGTCTGCTGCGCTGAGACACGGGCACAGGCTGTCGCGTGACCAGGGCTTTCTTGGCCTTGGTGGCTCAGGTGGCACCCTTTCCCCCTTTTGTTGGCTCAAGGTTCCCTCGAGAAGTAACCGCTTGGGATGTTCCCCCTTGTATTAATAGTCCTTAAGAGGGATTATAGTACCCCATAATTCGGCCCTATCAAGGACTGTTAGTGTAAGGGGCAATGTCCCAAGTAACCAGCCTGAACGTAAGCCCGAACTCCTGCAACCTTATTGTAGCCCTCCGGCTCAAAGAAGACCCCTGGTAGTGTGTGGTATTTGTTTGAGGTCCAACAGCCTTAACCTCTGAGAGTCCTCAGAGCAACCTCTAAACCCCAAACCCTAAACCCTAGCCCGAAGCCCTAAACTCCTAAACCCTAAACCCCAAAACCCCAAGAATCCCTCAACAAGGCATCTACCACCAGGACACCGGCCGCGTCGAGTTTTTGGGGCCCTCGCCAAGGCAATCGGCGCTCTTAGCCTCGGACCCTCTGAGGCCTTAGTTTGGGGTTTTGGGGGTTTAGGGTTTGGGGTTTAGGGTTTAGGGTTTAGAGTTTGGGCGCTTAGGGTTTGGGGAGTTCAAGTTCGTAGTTTGGGGTCTTGGGGGGTTGGGGGTTGAGGGTTTAGGCGCGCAGGGTTTGGGGGCTTGGGGGGGTTTGGGGTGTAGAGTTTGGAGGTTTTATTTAGGGTTTAGGGTTTAGGGTTTGATCTAGGGGTGTAGTGATTCAGAGTTTAGGACGTTCTCGATTTGTTAGGTGTTTTCTTGTTTTTTCTTCGGTGGGCGGGAGGGGGGGGGGGGGTCCGGGTCACTCCAGAGCTCGAGGTTGAGGGTTTAGGGTTCAGGGTTCAGGGTTTAGGGTTGGGTTTAGGGTTTAGGGATTAGGGTTTAGGGTTTAGGGTTTAGGGCTAGGGTTTAGGGTTCAGGGTGCAGGGTTTAGGGTTGGGTTTAGGGTTGAGGGATTTACGGTGTCGCATGTTTAGGTTGAGTGTTGGGGACTTGGGCCTCAGTGGTTAGGCTTTGAAGTTCAAGAGTTAGGGTTTAGGGTTTAGGGTTTCGGGTTTAGGGTTTAGGGCTTAGGGTTTAGGGTTTAGGGTTTGGGGTTTAGGGTTTGGGGTTTAGGGTGTAGGGTTTGGGGTTTAGGGTTTGGGGTTTAGGGTGTAGGGTTTGGGGTTTAGGGTTTGGGGTTTGGGGTTTAGGGTTGAGGGTTCGGCACCTGAGCTACCCTTCCTCGTTCCCTTTTTTGGAAGGCCCTATTTTTGAAGCCCACGAATCCCTGAACCCTGAGCCCTAAACCCTAAACCGGCAAAGCCCAAAGTCCTGTGCCTAGATTACTGAAAAAGAACCTCAGAGAGGCCCAGTCTGGGTCTCTTTGCTTTTGGAGAGATAGCTATGGCCCGCATCTCTAAACCTTAAACCCTGAACCCTAAACCCTAAACCCTAAACCCTAAACCCTAAACCCTAACCCTAAACCCTAAACCCTAAACCCTAAACCCTAAACCCTAAACCCTAAACCCTAAACCCTAAACCCTAAACCCTAAGCCTAAACCCAAACCCTAGCCCTTAACCCTAAACCCTGAACCCTAAACCCTAAACCCTAAAGTGCCAACATCGAACCCCATAAGCCAGGCTTTGCCACGTTTAGGGTGTAGGTTTTAGGGCTCGTGACGGCAGCCTCTAAACTCTAAACCCTAAACCCTATAAACCCTAAACCCTATAAACCCTATAAACCCTATAAACCCTATAAACCTACAAACCCTACAAACCCTACAAACCCTAAAAACCCTAAGGCCTCCAGTTCTCTGAGCCCCAAACCCTAAACCCCAAACCCTCAGCCCTAAGCCCTAAGCCCTAAACCCTAAACCCTAAACCCTAAACCCTCCGGTTCTCCGAGCCCTAAACCCTAAACCCTAAACCCTAAACCCTAAACCCTAAACCCTAAACCCTTTCACTAAGGACGTCGCCCTGCCACCTTCGATGGCCAAGCTCTCACTCCCCACCCGCATGGTGCTGGATGGCCCGACCAAACCGGATCAGGCCGAGTCCCTCTAGGGTTTAGGGTTTAGGGTTTAGGGTTTAGGGTTTAGGGTTTAGGGTTTAGGGTTTAGGGTTTAGGGACCGGCAGGGGTTGGGGTCTCGGGAGTTCGGGATTTCGAACTTGCTCAAAAGTTTCACCCCAGAACGCTGGGGGGCCCTGCACGAAGAGTAGACGCTCGTGGCAGTTTTGTACATGACTTCGGGCTTGGGTTTAGGGTTTAGGGTTTAGGGTGTAGGGTCTAGGGTTTAGGGTTTAGGGTTGAGGGTTGAGGGTTTAGGATTTAGGGTTTAGGGTTTAGGTTTTATTTTGGTTTAGGGTTTAGGGTGACCCTGAGGCCCTGCAGCTCCTCCGTGAGGGCAACGAGCGCTTCGCTGCCGGCGCGCCCATCGCCGGGCAGCTCAACGCGCCTTGGTAGCCCTAAACCCTAAATAAACCCTAAACCCTAAACCCTTTTTTGGTTATGGGTTCCCTTGTAACGTAGCCAGCCGCCAAAAAGGGCTGCCCTTAGTACAGTATGGCTGCTGGGCTACGGAGGCGCAGATGCGGAAGTCTTTGGTGCGCCCTGGCCCTGACACATACTGAGGTTTAGGGTTTAGGGTTCAGGGTAGGGTTGAGGGTTGAGGGTTGAGGGCTTAGGGCTTAGGGCTTATAGGCCGCCGGCAGTGCCCCGGCGAGCTGAGGGTTCTGGGTTTGGGCTTCGGGCTTGGGGGTTCGGGGTTGGGGTTTTGGGGGTTTTGTGGGTTTTTGGGGGTTTTGGGGGTTTTGGGGGTTTTGGGGGTTTCGGGGGTTTCGGGGGTTTCGGGGGTTTCGGGGGTTTTGGGGGTTGTGGGTTTAGGGTTTAGGGTTTAGGGTTTAGGGTTTAAGGCAGGGCCTAGGGAGAGCCCCCCTGCGACCCTTAGCATCCCTAAATTCCTAAGTCGTATGCAGCACAAAGAGTAGGTTTAGGGTTCAGGGTTAGGGCCCAGGGCTTAGGGTCTTTTTTGGGGCTTTAGGACTTAGAGTCTAGTTGCTCTAGTTCTGTTGTGTACAGCTTACCAACAAGTGGCCCTTAATTCAGAGATCAAGCAAGATCCCTAACCTCCCTAAAGACCCTAAACCCCTAAACCTCCAAACGCCCTAAACCTCAAAAACCCTAAACCCTAAAAACCTAAACACCAAACCCTAAACCCCAAACCCGAAACCCCAAACCCTAACCCCAAACCCCAAACCCCCAAACCCCCAAACCCCCAAACCCCCAAACCCCCAAACCCCCAAACCTCCAAACCCCCAAACCCCCAAACCCCCAAACCCCCAAACCCCCAAACCCCCAAACCCCCAAACCCCCAAACCCCCAAACCCCCAAACCCCCAAACCCCCAAAACCCCCAAACCCCCAAAACCCCAAACCCCAAACCCTAACCCCCTCGTCCGAGGAAGGAAGGCCAGTTCCCGCATTCCGCCGTCGTGGGCTGCGCCGACTCCGAGGCACCCCTGGCGGCTAGGCCGCCTTTGTCCTCCCTTTTTTTTGGTTTAGGGTTTGAGGTTTAGGGTTTAGGGTTTAGGGCTTAGGGTTTAGGGTTTCGGGTTTAGGCTGCAGAGTTTAGGACCTTAAACCCCTTAAACAACCTGAGTCCTCAGATTCTCAGACATTTTCTAACAGGGTTTGTAGGGTTTTCACCGCTTATAGTGTTTACAGAGATTATAACGGTTATTGGATTGAGGGGGTTTGGGCCTTGAGCTGAGAACTGGCTCAAGTGATTCAGACTCGTACCCCCAAGGTTGTACCCCTAAAGGTTCCCCTTAATGTACTCCTAGTACTGTCCTAGTATGGCCCTTATACTACCTTAAGGATCTCTAAAGAGAGTCCGCAAAACCCAAGGGTACAACCTTGAGGGTGCAAAGTAAAGGTTTAACGAAGGTGCCGTTTAGCCTCTAAAAACCCAAGGAGACCATCTTCGATGCATTGCCTGGGGACATCTTCGTGCTCCGCAACGCCGGCAACACCTGCACTCACGCGGAGGCTATGGAACCAAGACGTCCCGAACCACAAGCCCTCGACACCCCACAACCCCCAAACCCTAAACCCCATGAACTACACCCTTGAGCCGATAAGGTTATGGCTCCCAGCGGCCCAGAATCTCACTCCCTCTAGGGTTTAGGGTTTAGGTTTTGCGGTTTAGGGTTCAGCGTTCAGGATTTTGGGTTTCGAGGTTTCTTTCCCCTCTGCAGGGAAGCATCATGGGCAGCTTGGAGTTCGCCATTGGAGCCGTGAACACGCAGCTCATCCTCGTGCTCGGCCACACCAGCTGCAGTGCGATCCTGGGCGCCACGAAGGCGCGGGCCCTTGTGGTGCGGGGCTTCAAGGGGGTTGGGGTTTAGGGTCTAGGGTTTAGGGTTTAGGGTTTAGGGCTTAGTGTTTGCTGTTTACGGTTTAGGGTTTAGGGTGTAGGGTGTAGGGTTTAGGGTTTGGGGTTTGGGGTTTAGGGTTTAGGGTTTCTCATTTGAAGCTTAGAGGTTGGGCTTCGTAAAGGCTGGGAGTACCAGCGCATACTTCTGAAGAGCCGCCCTGTCGTTTTCGCATAGTCTTCTGAGGAGGCGGCCCTTTTTCCCCTCCCCCACCCCTTCCAAGCCCCAAACACTAAACCTTAACCCTAAACCCTAAACCCTAAACCCTAAACCCTAAACCCCAAATCGCAAAGCAGCGCATGGATCCAGAATGGGGGTCTAAACAAGGACGGAGTCACTGAGTTCTCAGCAGCCGGCCCCAAGTCTCAACCCGAAAGGGCCCAAACCTCCTAAACCCTAAGCCCTAAACCCTAAACCCTAAACCCTAAACCCTAAACCCTAAACCCTAAAGGGCTTTAGGGGTTTTAGACCCGATCCCCTTCCAGAGAGTGGGAGAAGCCTGGGGCTGCCACGGCTCGTTTTAGCGCCTTAGAGAGTTTAAAGGGGTTGACAGTGAGTGCCCCACAGTGGTGCCTTGAACCCGAATGTGGTCTAGGGCTTAGGGTCTAGGGTTTAGGGTTGAGGGTTTAGGGTTTAGGGTTTAGGGTTTTAGGGCCCCTAAACTCCAAACCCTACATCCGCAACCCAAAGACCTAAGCCCTGTAGACTGCCCCGAATGTGTCTGTTCCTTCGGCTTCCTGATCATCTAGGAGCCAGAGCAGGCCCTGATTCCTCATGTTTTTGGGGTTTCGGTTTTCTTCTAAGCCCCTTGTAAACAGAAAAAGGGCACCCCTTTTATTCCTAGGTTACTCTTGAGTCGCCCTAACCCTAAACCCTAAACCCTAAACCCTAAACCCTAAACCCTAAACCCCATATCCTTGGGCTTCGTCGCGTGTTTCCTGCACTGCCGAGGCTTTTCTGCAGTCCAAGAAGGTGGTGAAGACTAAGGCGGGTCTTGGGGGGTTTAGGGTATAGGGTTTAGGGTTTAGGGTTTAGGGTTTAGGGTTTAGGGTCTTGGGCCCACCTGGGGCTTAGGGTTTAGGGTTTATACTTAGTAGCTGAGTAGGTAACCTTGAGCCTTTTGGTGTATATATATATATAATATTATATTTATATTTTTGTTTTTAAATTCATTTGTATTTTTGCTTGTTTATTCCTACCATGATTGAAAGCTTAAACTTTCTTGGCCCAGGGTACTCGGCAACTAGGGTATAATTAGGGTTTAGGCTGCAGGCCATTTTGGGTTTTCATTGAATCATTGAAGGCACTTTGGGTTTAGGGTGTAGGGTTTAGGGCTTCTGAAAGGCAGGCAGGCCTGAACAGTGAGCCTGCAGAGACCTTTCTTTGGATTTGGGTTTCGAGGCTTCAGGGTTTAGGGTTTCGAGGGTTTAGGGCCTAGGGTCTGGGGTTTAGGCAGGGTGTCTTTTTCTGTCAGTATCTCTACCTCTAAACCCTAAACCCTTAAGCCTTAAGCCCATGGAAGGCCCAGAAGCATCCGTAGGGGGGTTGCGGGTTTAGGGTTTAGGGTTAGTTTTTTTGGGTTTAGGGTTTAGGGTTTAGGGTTTAGGGTTTAGGGTTTAGGGTTTAGGGCTTCCGGGTCAGAAACACCACCGTGAACCCTAGGCCCTGCCTTGCGAACCCCAAACCAGCCAAGCATCCTCATGGTCCTAGGAATTTTTCCTGAAACCCCTAAACCCTAAACCCTAAACCCTACACCCAACATCCTAAACCCTAAACCCAACATCCTAAACCCTAAACCCAACATCCTAAACCCTAAACCTGGCTGAGGTCAACAAGGCCCTAGATGCGCTGCTGGACGGATTGAGCGTGGTGATCGCGAAGGCCATTGGTGTAGCTTCGAACTTGGGTTTAGGGTTCGAGGTTGAGGGTTTGGGGTTTAGGGTATAGGGTTTGGGGTTCAGGGTTTCGGCGTAGGGTTCAGGGTTTAGGGTTGGGTTCAGGGTTTAGGGTTGGGTTCAGGGTATTGTGTTCGTGCGCGCGATTCGTGAGAATATATACATGGAGACGTAATCAACTGCCAGACTTCCTGGCGTCAAGCTACTACCGCTATCGAAGCCGCAAAGCCTTTGACAGTGTTAGGGACCGGAGTTTTAAGTTTCACCGCCTAGCATCTAGTAGGAACAGTCGCTTCCACGAACTGGCAGTTAAAACCAAAATCAAGTTCTATGTAGTTTGACTCCTGTTTTTCGTCGAGTATAAAACGTACCGGAATATGGAACATATTTTAACCATCATCACGGTTCTGGGGGACGTAGGATTGCAGCGTCCCTGACGAGCGACGACTAAAGGAGGGACCCTTACCGGGGAGCTTAGGGGTAACGAAGGGGCCAATCAGGGGCCACATAGGTACATAGGGACTTTGTAAGATATATATATATATACAGATCTAGGAGAATAAGATGATATGGCTCGCTTCCAGGGTCCCTCCTTATATCCCTTAAAGCAAGTACACCTGTTCTGACTCGTTCAGTTTAACCCAGTGGAGTCCCGTGGGTTGTTTTCTGCGGACATGTTTAGAAGGATCTCAGAAGCGTTCAGTTCTGAAAAAAAGGTTTGGGCAAGTTGTGCTTTAAACATCTTCGAACCATTAGGCTGCGAAGGCGATCGAACAACCTGTACAAAACTTCAAGACTGCCGAAAACGGTGGCAGGCTAGGTACAAGCTTCTCCTGTTGAGGTGCTTGCGACAATCACTCCCGATGTGTCATGTACCGTTCTGCATTCGAAGCTAGATGGGGATTTACGATCGTAAGGGGCCCCAATCAGGCACCCCTACTTTGGAAAACCTCCCAGATGTTTCTTGGCGGAAGTTGCGATCAATCGCGATAGAGTTGACAGCTTATCTTACTGCTTCTTAGTAGGGGTACTCTAATATATACATATATATATATATGTCTCTCTATGTACGTATAAATCTTTAAGAGGCATGCGCACATAAATACAGAGAGAGAAGGGGAGAGGGGAATAGGGTGCCTATCCCTCATTCCCGCGAACCAGCAGCAAGTCGGTTGCGCTAGAAGTTGTAGACACATACCCACGTATGTGTTATGAGCTACATGTATATGTACCTGTAAATAAATAAACATATATATATATATACAAAACCTCCGACCCTAAACCCTAAACCCTAAGCCTTGTGCCCTTAGGGTTTAGGGTTTAGGACTGGTAGAGTGTACGACAGCCGGGTTCCGCGCGCAAAAGCCCAAAGCTGCCCCCCTTTTCCCGAACACCAACTGGACTTCTGTTTAGGGTTTAGGGTTTAGGGTTTAGGGCTTAGGGTTTAGGGTTTAGGGTTTGGGGTTTAGGGTTTAGGGCTTAGGGTGTAGGGCAGCAGCACCAGGCCGCCAAGGAGCTGGACCCGGCTGCGCCAGAAGAGGCCATCGCCGCCCACGCCGAGAAGTTGAATGCTTCTTGGAACAATGTAGGGGCTTCAAAGGGTAATCTAGGGGCTTTAAGGGTAATCTAGGGGCTTCAAGGGTAATAGCGGGGGCTTTAAGGGTAATCTAGGGGCTTTAAGGGTAATATAGGGGCTGTAAGGGTAATCTAGGGGCTTCAAGGGTCATTTAGGGGCTTTAAGGGTAATATGAAGGGGTTTTAAGGGTAACATAGGGGCTTTAAGGGAAACATAGGGGCTTTACGGGTCATATAGGGGCTTGAAGGGTAATGTAGGGGCTTTAAGGGTCATGTAGGGGCTTTGAGGGTAATATGGGTGCTTTAAGGGTAATAAAGGGGGCTTTAAGGGTAATCGAGGGGGCTTTAAGGGTAATAGAGGGGCTTTAAGGGCAATCTAGGGGCTTTAAGGGTACTATAGGGGCTTTAAGGGTAATATAGGGGCTTTAAGGGTAAAAAAGGGGTTTTAAGGTTAATGTAGGGGCTTTACGGGTAATACAGGGGCTTTAAGGGTAATATAGGGGCTTTAAGGGTAATATAGGGGGCTTCAAGGGTTATATAGGGGCTGTAAGGGTAATCTATTTTATTTATTATTATGTTTTTTCTTTTTTTTTTTGGGGGGGGGGGGGGGGGGTTCTGAAGTATTGGGGCAAGAAAGCCGCTTTAAGGGTTATATAGTGATCATTTTGTTCTTCATGTTTTTTGGGGGTTCTTAGGCAAAAAGTAGCAATGTAGGGGCCGGAACAATTAGAACAGTTTTTTTTTTGGGGGGGGGGGGGGGTTATTATAGTATAGTTACAAAGGGACCATAAGGCAACATTATTGGAATAGGGTTTTGGGGGTTATTATTATTATAGTATAGTTACAAAGGGACTTTAAGGGAATATTCTCAGTAATTATTCCGAAAGGAAGGCGGTTCAAGGGGTTTCAGGTTTAGGGCTTAGGGCTTGAGGTTTAGGATTAAGAATTAAGGTAACCCAAGGTTCCCGAATACTCTAAGGCTCCCTAAGCTTCCCTAAGGTTCCCTAATTACCTACAGTACCCCCCATGAACCTCCCTCAAGGAGCTTTGACCAACCTTCTGGGCAGTCCAGTGGTACCTTTTGCCCCCTTTTTTTTGGTTCAAAATAAGTGTACGCTTATTAGAAGATGGTTGCTGGGCTACTAAGTTACTTAGTAGGTGGCTTTATTATCGTTCTGTAAAGAAGGGTGTGATGTCGCAGGTCAAGTTAAGGGGGTTTCGGCGTTGAGGTTTAGGGTGCTTTCGGTTTGATGGCAAGTAAGTATGGTGCCCTGGCAACCCTGAACTCAAAAAATCCTAAGCCCTAAACCAAGAAAAGATGCTAGGGTTCATTTCGGGCTTTGGGGTTTTCAGCATTGTTTGGGTGTGTTTATGTTTTTGGGGTGTCAGGCTCTTAGGGTTCCAAGAGGAGTGCAAGCGGCTGCTGGGGCTTCGGATGCTGCAGGGTGTCGGTATCGTAGTTTGTCGACGGTCTCAACCTTAAGCCCTAAACCTTGAGATGTGCCCCCTTATACTAACAGTCCTTGGTAGGGACTACAATAGGGGGTACTCGAATCCCTACGAAGGACTGTTTGTGTATGGGGCAGCATCCCAAACCTGTAGCCCCGAAACCCCTAGACCCCTAAACCCCTGCCTCAGTCTTAAGGTACTCCGGGGTGTCTTCACGTAGCACTTCAAACGCTGAGAGGCTGTGGAAGTTGATCCACA